ACCGATATTTCAATTTTTTTAAGTACCGCCGTTCTTTTCATCATTGCAAAGAATATCCACTATCAAGAATTTGTTAGACTTCAACTACAAAAGCAGCATTTCATAAGAAAGTTTAGTTATTTTTCCAATATGGCGGATTGACTACAGAGGAGCCTGATCGTTTTTGATTTGTTGAAAATTTCAATCGTTTCTTCTGAATGATCAATAAAATTCAAAATTAGGATTCAAAAATTTCGCCCAACCGATATAGGTAGTATAAAGCCCTAACAAAAATACGGACGTTTGCAGGTTGCCAGGATTGCGACAAAATATTTTCGAACGTGGACTCGTTACGTTCGCACGTCCGCTTCTTCCACAAGGGTCTACCGAAAAAGGTGTACGTCTACATTTGCGACAAGTGCGGCGTACAGTTCCGCCAAAAGCTACTGCTGCGCCATCACGAGCAGAACAACTGCGAGCGAGCGCCGATGTACGGGTGCGAGATTTGCGGCAAGCGCTTCCACAGCGTTCACACGCGCAAGTCGCACCTGCGCATTCACGATCCGAAGAAGAAGTTCCTGTGCAAGTTCTGCGGGAAGAGCTTCCGGTGGAAGGGCCAGCTGAAGGTGCACGAGCGCAGCATACCGGCGAGAAGCCGTTCAAGTGCCTCTACTGCCCAAAGGCGTTCGGTTACCGCGAGAGTCTGATCACGCACAGCAGCCTGCACACCGGCATAAAGCCGCATCTGTGCCAGGCGTGCGGGTCGAGGTTCTCGTGCGTTGGAAACCTCATTAAGCACCGGGCGACTCACTCGAGCACCTGCGGCGTGTGGTATGCTAAAAATAAGTAGCTTTTAATAAATTTATTTATGACTCACAATGTGGTCTTATTGGGCATGGGTTCTGGAATATGTAGTGTACTTAACCGCCTGGTTCTACGCTAACTTCACAATACAAGAACACGGAACTAAAGTCAACCCGGCAACGTTTAAAAATGGCCACTCGAATAACTATTCCCTCAAATGGTAGTTCACCGAATAAAAATAGAAATAGGCTGCGAAAAAAGAACTTACCAATAAAAAAACCAGCCGTCGAATTAATATTAAATTGTGTACTAAAATTAATTGTTTGTAATGATGTGAATGCGTACCTAACATAAAATTGTAAGATCACAAAAGTAGCAGGTAAACTTCAAGAGGTAACATTTAGGTTAAAAACAATAATGGGCCAGGAAAGCAGGTACCAAGATTCTAAGAAAGTGTGAAATACACAGGATGTGACTCATCTTTGGTGCAATAAAGTCCTTTTGTTAAAAGCAAGATGGAAAATTACATGGCCTTGTAGGCAAATTTAACTAAAAACAAGATATGTGGAAATTATTGAATCGCCATTTATTTAGCAAACATAGATTCTAAACTGAAGAGCTTTGATTAGCGTAATCCCATTCCTGCAAGATAGGTAACTCGCCCCTGGTTTCGGGGTTTCGAGCGTACAGTTGAAAGTCGAAGACAATCACGGAATTAGGTGTCGTAGCGCAATTTTGACTACAGTTTTTACCACCCCCGTGACTTCTTCATTCACGGAGAAAAATGTTAGTAACAAACAAGTCAGGGCATACATCAAATGAATCGGTAATTTCCACATATTAAAATAAACTGATTCAAACTTATATTTATGTTACTTCACGCACACGACCAAGTAATCAACACAACCATAAATTAAGCAAACATTACACCAAAAACGTACACGATTACAAACAAAGAGTTAACGGTATTAAACATTTCATACTGAATTGCGGTTAAACCAAGCAAATTTCAAAAACAAAGATTGAAACACACAAAAAATATAAAATGCCGCATACAAAACACAAATACGATATAAAGATGCAAAGATTACTACCTGCATTTAAAAAACACAAAATAACAACAAACATTTATGGAGCGACGCGTTCACGACCGCTATTCAAGACTAGATGCCCAAACGTAATTCCCGTTCGTGCTTTCTAGATGGCGCAGGCAACTTTTTCCCTTTTTCCCACCTACAAATTGCATGGTTGCCAATTTTCAAAAATGTATGTATTGTCGTAAGTTGTACCTATACAGGGTGTTTTTTTGGGAGCTTTAGTTTAACGTTTCTGGGAAAGTAAAATAGGTAGTTTTTGAAAATTTGTACTTAGGAGTTACTCTGAAGGCCGAATCGATTTAAAATATTTTCAAAATAGCCGCACTTCCAGAAGCACCGGAAGTAGATAGTAACTTCGTTATTTTAAATAGCAACTCCTATTTTTTATTGGATTTTTGGATTCTACGTGAAATTTCACCCATATGTCGATATCTGCCATTTATGGTTTTTAAGTTTTTTTGACTAAGAAAAAAAATGGCGGATGCAGATGGTACCTTGATAATTGATTACTTCAAAACGGTTGTAGTCATGGCAACCTATTTTTATCAGTGCATAGAGAATGAAACTTTCCACATGTATTTTATATTTTAACAATTCGCAGGAAGGTAACTTCATAAGTAAGTGCGACTTTTGACAGTCAATTATGATTTTTGTGATCCCCTTGTGCGATGAGCTAGGGATTTTGTTTGTTTTATTTGGGGGTGTAATGTATTTATTTGCAGTGGTATTTTTCTTATTTTGCATACGTACCACACGTGATTATTATTCATGACTCCTGAATATTTATGTTATTTGATACTGATATGGAATGGATCTCGAGAGGTCAATGACCCCTTTTTGTGGTGTCATGTTTTATTTTCAAGTTTGTCAAATATCAAGCCCTCCATTTTTGCGGTGTTATATTTATTTATTTATTGCATTTACTATAGTGGGTGGAGTGTTAGCAATTTGCTACTCTTCCCACTCAACCCACTATACAATCACAAACTGCCATACCTTACCTGGGATTCGAACCCAGGACCCTTGTAGCCAAAGTTAGAGCTCCTAACGTAAGCTCGCATCAATTCAAGGTTATCAGAGATCTTTTTGGGTCAGTGGTCCCATTTTTGTAATGTCATTTTATTTTAAATGTTATCAGAGGTCAATGGCCTCATTTATGTGGTGCCAGATCGGCCCGCCCATTCTTTTGGGGTTACGTTTCGTTGTTATGTTCAATGGCCTCCCACGGTAATTAAAGGTGGATGACCCTATTTTTGTATGTTATTTTCAATGTCATCAAAGTTCAACGACCACCTCAGTCGTATCTGATTTCATTTTCAAGATCATTGGTTCCATTTTTGTGGTGTCATTTATTTCCTGTGTTGATTTTCATTTCCAAGGCCAAAGTTAATGTTTATTTGTTGCAGCGGCAAAAATGTTACTTTCAAGGTCATCCAAGGTCAATAACCCCATTTGATCGTTAAATAAACTATAGGCGAGTTCAAGGACACCTTATTAGGATATAAAGCGCGGCTGTGTACATTTATAATTCAGTCAGTCGGCGCATTTCTCATGTCCACATGATTATACCGATAAATTTTATTTTAAGGTCTTCACGCGGGAGTAGATTATCGTATGGTGTTGCCCTGTATGTTTGAATTAATTGTTCCCGTGGAAAAAGAACCTCATACAGTGGAATTCTTGGGTCTTGGCTATATAGTTTCTTGTTCATATCTCTTGCTGACTGCAGCTCTTGTGTCTTATACGCGAAGGGGGGCCACTAATTAACTTTTCTTCTGTTTAAAGTATGTGAGGTTATGTGAAGTTAGTTTGAATATTATTCGCGTTATCAATATTTTCGTGTTAAATTAACGATGCCGGAACACGCCTTTGGAGTTTCTTTCTCATCGACAGTTCTATAGTGTTGAGGACACAGAGTTCCTCCATCCAGGTTTCTAATGGTTTCAAGCAGTCTCATAGCTAGAGAACGTACGAAAGAGGGGCAAGCTTACCATTGGAGGGAGCAATAGATGACATCTGTTTTTTTTACATTTTATTATTTAACCCTTCTGGATGAGAATGCGTAACCGGGGGCGGGGAGTATTCCAATACCCCCAGTAAAGCAAAATTCGATCATTTTCTCTACAATCATCGTCATCACCATCATGAGACCATTCTAAACTAAATCGACTCTTCGTATACTGGGGGGTATATTCCATACCCTCCAGACCAGCCGGGTGATACGTTCGATGGCGTGTTACTGAGAATGCAACACCGCGGAGCCTGGGGAGTCTCCCCTGCTAGAAGATTTGTTGGAGCCTTTATAGACTAAAAGTTCTTACAGGTTTTTATAATCTATTTGTGAGTCAACGATTGCGCGAAGTAACTTAATGCCTTGAAAATAAGATTTTTCGGTAGAGTGCTTTTGTATGTCATTTACATTTACATAATAGTGAGGTGGCCATGCAAAAAAAGGCAATTTTTATTTATCTTGTCCAAAACGAAAATCATATCGATGAATTTATTTTAAGTCCAAAAACTGGAGAATAAGTAAAAACATTTGACTACAAAGCAAATTTAATTTAACTCCTAATGTCATCCAGTCAGTGATATTAGTTTCATTTTTTTTTCATATTCACCTCGTTATTATGTAAATTAGAACTTATTTCAGATTAAAATATATAAAAAGTAGAAAAACCAAGATATTTGTTTATGCTATCAAATTTATTTTCCAGTTTTTATAGACTTAAATGAATTATTAGAAAAATGAATTAATAAATATGATTTTCGTTTTGGACGAGATAAATAAAAATTGCCTTTTTTTGCATGGCCACCTCACTATTATGTAAATTACATATAACGTATTTAAGTTTATAATATAAAACCCAGGAAAACCAAGATATTTTCGAAAACTATCAGAGATAGGTATAGCACCCTGTATAATTCCAAATATTTTTAAAATGTGGAGAATATGCAACCATATCATAATACAAAAGCACTCTATCGAAAAATCTTATCTTCAAGGCATTAATTTACTCCGCGCAATCATTGACTCACCCTGTACAGACATTATTGCTTTTACTGCAAACGAAATTTGGTTCCCTAGACAACATCTATTACGTACGAGGGGAACAGGCGCACTAAAAGTAAGTAGCTAATTTATTTATGACTTAAAATATGATCCTTTAAATTAGGCATGTGCTTTGGTACAAAGCTACATTTGTGACACTTAAGAGGTGTATCCAGTAATTTTCTACACACTTCGGACTTGGGCAGCTTCACAACACCTTCGGCCTCAAACTGCTGACAAATATCTACAAAAATTCACTGCGAAAACTTGCCAAAATGACCTCGTTTACCTGCTGAACTCAAGAAGAAACTGGAATTGTAGCTATTCCAGTGCTTCTTCGTCTTGAGACAGCTCGAAACCATATCGTCACTTATAAGATGCAAGTGCAACCGGGCCATGCTCGCTTCGGCGTGATAACCCATCTTAAAGTTTTTGTGTTTGTGCTCGTCGTCCGTCGACAGATCGGACGCTACGTGCTGCATGTGTTGGAGTAACGACAGGTGCTCTTTATTCACCTTTTTTAAACTGCTAATGTCGGCTTTCGGCAGGACGAGATAGTGGTACTCGGCTTTCGGATATTTATCCTTGATTACCACCACGAGATCGTCCTCCATTACGATACTTTCGGGGTCTTTCATCGTGTCGAGCAGGCCGAGAGCCCAGTAGCCCGAAGTTTTTTGTTTCTTTGATTTCTCATTATTCGCAGTTGGTTGTGCCCTTTTGGTGCTCATCGCTATCAATTTTGAAAGAAACAGCTTTATATTCGAAATTTTTGAGGTTAGAATAGAACGCAACAGTGTCTAAACTACCGTTGTTTGAAGGTGGCTACGGAAAAACTTAATTTACCATCATTATAGAGCGGCACATACACTATGTAATACCGGGTGATTCAAAATGACTGCAGACTGACTTTGGTGCATACGGTGCATAAAATAACATTTTAGTGTTTTTTACTTAAAGCGTTGGCGGTCATGGTTATCTCCCAATACACAAATTACAATCAATTGGTGTCGGATTTTACGTGTGTTGTTATTGCCTCGTCTCTATACCACGAACCTTGCATTTTGAAATAAATAGTTCTTTTCAAAGCTCCTGCAAGTGCAACATTTTACAAAGGTACCTACTCTGTTTATCCAGGCCAGTGTAATCATTTAATCTGTCCAAGCGAAGATGGTGGCTTCCTTTACGGAGTGCCGTTGTTGCTCTCTTGATCAGCTTGGCTAGTAGTACGGCTGCACTAAATGCTAACTTCGGTATTATTGGCTTTGCCCGTGCAGGGGTTACCTTGGATTATGCCATTGGCAGTGACACTTTTCCTTGTCTGGTTTTTGTGTACACTACCGCACCGTATGCCTTTTCTGATGCATCACAAAACCCATGTATTTCCAATGTTTCATTCTTCTTATGTATCCATCTTGGGATCTAAACCAATGTCGGATATGAACTTCAGCCATTCTTGGGCTCCCAGTAGCACATCTATATTGGACTAGTAATGTTGAGTCTGTTGGGTTCAAAACGAATTCCAATGAGTGCAAGCCACCACCATTTTGTGTAGAATTCGCGTAAATTGAGAATGGGTACGTACAGCCGGGGCAATTGTTGAGTATGTTGAGACGTTGACTTACCTTAACGATGAATGGTGACTTCTGGGCATCGATTCCCGAAGTTAGTCGATATGCTCCGTGAATCGTGATGTGACCGGCTGCCATGACGTCATGATCGTATACGATAGGGATAATTTCAAGTTTAGCTGCATTCCCGAATCGTGGACAAACTGTATGAGCTAAGCAATCACAGACAAGAAATGAACTGTCATTTATCAGTTTTGTATTTTGTTTTGTTTTTGCATTATGGATACTGTTATTAATAACCAGAAAATCTTCGAACAATTCCGCGTTTTATTTCACAGAAAATATGTGAATGTATAGGTTAGGGCACTGAATAACCCCTAGCAAAAGTTTTGCTAGGGCTTATTCAGTGCCCTAACCATTGAATTTATAACTATCATAAATTCAGTGCCCTAACCTATACATTCACATATTTTCTGTGAGTTTTGCTGCAAAACAGCTGCAAGCTCAGAGTAAGAAATAAAGTACTCTGAGGCTGCAAGTTCCGTCCTGTAGCTGCAACTGCGCATGACTTTCACGCAACGAGTGGTCTAGACCAGTCGTTGCGTTCGATCAACTTATCGCTCGATGTGGTAGGTTCGAGAATGCAGTCACATTCACGTTCACATCAAGGTCAGTCGATGTGAACAAAGCACATGTTCGAGAATCGACGCCCTGGTGGAAGTCAACAGTTGGTAATAATTGGCACCACAAATTTTGTGTAATATCTGAGATACCCCAACCGTAGCAACGTCCTGTGAATATTTACTCTTAGTTTTGTCTGATGTATGTGTTGTAATACCTGGGGAATGGTTCGATTCCATTTTTGTTACTCATAGCGTGTATGTAGTACTTACCCCGGTTTCGAGAGGGCTCAAAAGTGCTGTACATTAGATGTTAGCCGTAGGCTTTATTCATTATAGGACTACTCCGAATTAGGTTTTCCTGCAGTTTTCCTAATGCGTAAGGTAAATGCCGGAGTAGTATAGAACCACTTAAGATCCTCTGCAGGGGCACCGTATTGGTATTAGTTTCAATATAAACATAATCAGCTATTGCTATTGGTGTTCCTTACCCATAAAACGCTCTCAGTGCCTGCTGAGTGCTGAGAACCCAGTTATTACACAACGTAGGTGTCCTACATCACGATCACGATTTTAGCGCACTTGGAGTGGCCACCGGGTGATTCTCGCGGGAAACTTAAGCAAGAATATTCAAACAGGCAGCCATGTTAGTTTGGCATTTCCGCTACTACAGAATATGGTCGAATATCCCGGTGTGACTTGAAGTTGGCGTTACCCGCCAAGAGATCAGACGCTAAGATCATTACATACAATCCAAACGCGTTTGGATCATCGAAAGAAAGCGCCTCATATCATAACTAAACAATTGTGTTTTGTAGTCAGTGTCAAGGTCAACGTTAAAAAAGCGCGCGCCACTGGAATAAAATTCCATTTTATATCATCTCATCTTCAAACAATTCTTGCAAAACAATATCCATTTTTTGTCAGCACGAAAGTAAGGTTAAGATATAAATTACAAGATGATAAAACGAGGTGTCAACAGAACCGTTCAGGTATATGTGACGTTTGCTACTAAAACACGTTTACGGTGTCAGTCAACAGTTATATCGGCTGAACGTACACACGTTTAAATAATTATGACATCTACAAGGACTATTACAGCGATGTCGATTGAAAGCAACCAAAAGTCATATGTGACAAACAGAAAAGCGATAGAGCTTGCCTCATAGATTTTCCTTCTCTCTCACTTGCAGTATCCGCGCTTGGCATTGGCACGCGCAGTCCATCTTGTTCGTATTAATTAAAATACATAAACCTCTCGCCAGGAAAGATTGCCGGTCACAGAACACTTGATCCCGATCTACGATCTATGTTTTTCTAAAGATGTAAGCGACTTCCGGGATAGTATGGTGTTAATGTTGAACAAAAAGACTTTTCGTTCAACATTAGCACGATCCTATTCTGGAAGTCGCTCGCATCTTAAGAAGAAAATAGATTGTAGATCGACACAAGGTGTGCTGTGACCGGCAATCTTTCCTGGCGAGTTATACACAGTTGCTATAATGTATGCGCCGCTCTATAATGATAGTTGTTCCGTTGCGATCTTCATACAGCTGCGGTGTTGCCGATACTACAGAGCGTTTTTTGTTTTTTAGGTAGAGTTTTGTATTATGTTTAAAGTTTCCGGAATACTTTTATACCTGATAAGTGCAAGTTTAGGTGAGAGCTCCCCCCTTTACGGTTTTGTAATAATCTAATCGTTTTCCTCTCCACAGGAAATCACGTTCTGATAACGCAAATAAAGAATGATATCGAGATCCCCATAAGGTCCTCCTTAGTTACTGCGTCAATGGGTGATAAGGTATCATTGCATTGCAAACTCATTGGTAACGACACAACAAAAAACTTAGGCGTGCAATGGATTGCAAACCCCTCGTTCAATTTGAAGTAATAATGCCGACAGATTTTTGGCAAAGCATTGCAGGCGGCATGTAACATTATGCCGCTTACAACGTTATTTTACAGTATACGCACTACCGACTGCTTCTTCCACATATTTTAGGTTTGCCGAACACGATTTTTCAACGATAGTTTTATATCCACTGATGCCAAACAATGCGGGCACTTACACATGCGTCAGTAAAAACCGAAAGTCATCCGCTGTTGTCGATTTATTCGTTATACCCGGGCGGACTGATTATCAGAAAGAAATTCGGGAAATGGAGGCTAGACTGGCACAAGTACACAACACTAACTTTGATCGGTTTGCGAACATGATGGAAACCAAAACTCTTCCCCCAATGGAGTGTAAGTAAAAAATTCGCAACTTGTATTCGGTATGCTTTGTTCACATTGATTTTTCGTAAGGCGCCTGTGAACTGAATCTGAAATGGCGTATTAAAGGGTGAAATATTTTGTAAAAATGAGATTTAAAAATTAGCTCGATGTTGGATATCATAGTAGGACAGTTTTTTTCGCAGTGCTAGCATTGGTAACAGTGAGAACACTGTAAACCACAATCGAAGCTTCCAATCAATGGATTGTACCATGATTGTACCTTGTAAATGATCGGCATCAGCAGAACATAGTAGATAAGCCTACTTTGACCTTGAAATCTGCGCATGCGCCAAGTTTAAGAGCTCCCTTTAAAACACGTACCCTGCCAGATGGCGCCATAATTCCAAAGTTAATTAGGTATATTTATTAGACGCATTACTCTCGTATTACTGAAAATCATGCAAATATGATGATAAATTCTGATTCTACTAGTCAAGGAGTCTGTAATAAGCTTTTTTGGGATTTAAATTTTCATTATTAACCATAAAAACAAGGTTGAAAGGCTTAACACTTACTTTGAAGTAATAGGTAATTTTTGAGATACTTAATACTTTCCCAACTACATGCGAAATTAATTGCCCAAATATCATCTCGCAAAAATTGATAATAAATGAGTAATGTGGTTAAAACCATCTGATATTGACAACGAATAATAATCGACCATGTTGGTAAACCTAGTAAAGTTCAGGTATTCTCCCCAAGATGGCGCTTGTTATCACCAAGAATTAAAGTCCCTAGATTACTAAAGTACCGCGATTCATTAGGCCAGTGTTTTAGACAAAAACAAACTGTTAATTGAGCCAAAATGGCCGCTTGACACGTAGTTGTCAGGTCTATGGATGTTTGGAATATATTAATAACATTATCATTAGGCAAGGGTCCTTTATAATTTAATTCCCTTGAAAAGGTAAATATAGAGCCACATAGAAGAATGAGACAAATCCATTCTTCTCTTTCTACGTCAACTTGCTATATTTCGCAAGAGGTGAGGCAATACACCGATTTAAAAAAAAAGGAATTCACTTCAGAGGCGCCTTAAAAGTTGGCCTTGGAAAATTTCATTTGTGTTGGCAATACTGGTAAGGTTAATTTATCAAATTGGGAATGCTTAGCTTAGTAGCCATTTGTTTCTTATATTTGAAAGTGTATAGCGCGTAAAATTAATGGAGGAAATCAAAACGGATGGCCTGTGGGTGTCACCTGTACCGCCACCTCTGATTCGGCTCGTTTACCTGTCCTGATTTTAAGCGCGGAGAACTTGTTTTCCTCTCTTGAGGTTGCTCTTTCTCAACTGTGTGCCGATTCTTATCCAGGAGTTCTGAGCCTCCAGGTCTGTTGTCTTGTGACATTATCGACAGCACAGAGTCGTACTTAGCCCAACATACAATGACAGATTTCTATAACCTAGCTTATGCAGTGATGCCAATGCAACTAAAAATGTCAAAGGGCAACCCTTGCGACTAGAATTATAATTACTAACATCTTGTAGTCAATTTTCTGAAAGAGCGCAAACTTATTACTTCCTCAACGTACACAACTTTCAAGCAATTAGTCTACATCGGTAAGAACACGAGCAGTAAAGTATAGCGGATTAGCGATCCATTTTTACAGTTCCCGTTACGATATTGCTGATACTATCGCTAGTACGTTTTTGCTATTATCTGGGTAACCGGAGTCAAATACCTTGGCAGCAGTTGAACACGCCCATCACAAGTTGCGAGCATCAAATCTGCGCCTATCGGCGGCGTACGAATCCTGCCGCCCCGTGCATTTTAAGTAGGACCAATCGGGGACTGTCGGTTTTAATCATTCAAAGAGCGGCGAGTAGCACTTCGGACAGTGCGACAAATTTGGTAACGGAGGAGGACGCTCCGCCCGCTTACAACGACGTGAACGCCGATTCACCGCCTACTTACACCGAAGCGGTGGAAACTATGGACGGTGCCTTACCTTGTGCGACGCCAAATTCGAATGCTTCCATTTAATTGACCAGTGATAGCTTTCCAGGCAATGGTCCATTGTGATTTATTAATGTAGTTAGCAATTAACGGAGAAGACTTATTTTTGTTACACCGTTTTGGTTACGAATTTTGTGTAAAATTTTTACAAAATAAAGTTTTTAGTTTTTTTGAATTCTGGTAGCAATGAAACGTATTTATTTATTATTTATTTATAGGTTTTTCGAGTCAAGTCTGCCATAGGACATAGAAACAAGTTCGCGCACACGTCTTCGGTGTTTTCTGACGTCGCTAAGTATGACGACATAGCGCCAGGCAATGAATGGAAGAGTTTCGTTATAACGCCCGCCCCCAGAAGTCAAGAAGCGAAACTTGCCCCAGAGCCACCGTTACTTTCAAGCCAAAACGACGGACGTTTCGCGGCTGTTGGGAATCTGGGTAGCAGTCTGGTGAACTGGTGGTTCACAAATGGGAAAGAAAATTAAGTACAAACTCATAATTTTTCGCGTAAGAAAAGACGAGAACATATAAAATATATTACGCAAACAACCAGGCAATGTCAGGGAAACCTTCTACGGGACAAAAACCCCGCACAAATACACAAACTAAATTAACAAATACTTCGGAAAGTTAATCTTTACAAATAGGAAAGGATTGGAGGTGCTTTTAAATTTACTTTCGATGGCCATTCTTTAGCTTATCAAATGTAGTAAATTAACGTCAGATTTAAAGTGTAATGATCTTAGCCTCCTACTATCTTGGCGGTCTAACACCAACCTCAATTCACACCGGAATATTTGACCATATTCTGTAGTAGCGGAAATGCCAAACTAACATGGCTGCCTATTTGAATATTCTCGCTTCAGCTTCCCGCGAGAATCTGTCACTCCGACTGCCAAAAAAATAATTCAGGATTATTGTTTAATCCAGTATTAAGACATTTGATTGGCTTTATACTGCAGTATGCAACCAATCAAATTTCAAAATTCTTGTTTAAACTCAGATTTGACAAATAATCTAGGATTTTGGTTATAATTCGCTTTCCTGCAACCGGCCGCGAGTGCACTAAGATCGTGATCGTCATGTAGGACACCTACGTTGTGTAATAACTGGGTTCTCAGCAGGCACTGAGGGCGTTTTATGGATAGCAATAGCTGATTAAGATTATATTGAAGCTAACACTAATACCAACACGGTGCTCCTGCAGAGGGTCTTAAATGGTTCTATACTACTCAGGCATTTACCTTACGAATTAGGAAAACTGCAGGAAAACCTAATTCGGAGTAGTCCTATAATGAACAAAGCTTACAGCTACATCGAATGTACAGCAATTTTGAGCCCTCTGGAAACCGGGGTAAATACTACATACACGCTATGAGTAACCAAAATGGAATCGAACCATTCCCCAGGTATTACATCAGATAAAACTAAGAGATATTAAATATACCTCGCCGGGCGGTAGGATTACTCAGGCCCAGTGGGGTGCCTGTAGATGTGGGCTAAAGTTGTTGGATTTCGGAACGAGTGAAAATGTTAGTGTTAGGTTCACCAAGGCCCGTATAAACTTGAATAGCTTGATCCCCTCTAAACAAGCACACTTCCCTCTTGATTACTCACAGCCCCAAATAAGCAAATATAATGAAATGCAATGAAATAATCGAAAGTGACTAAAAAGCACAATACACAAATATGTACAGAACAGATACAGCCCTACCGACAATGAAGCATGATTGCCAATACCAACAAAGGTTACTCATTAAGAGGTACAAGTGATTGAATCCAAAAAGTACATCACTAAAGGGTTACAATCTGCATTCAAGTTACACACATTCATAGATTAATTGAATAAAGCAAAACCTCACCTGATATAAAAAGCAAAAGCACACAGCAATGATTAAGGTATAACAAAATATTTTCAGATATGCCCTACTTTACATCTTAGGCCGGTTACAAGAAAAAGACCATGAACACACATGTTAAATCGTATTTATTGACTACCCCAAGCGACTCTGTAACTTGATCTCTTAACACCCCTAAAACCACCCGAAAATCGCCCATTCCCTGCATTTCTAGGAAAAACCGGACTGCAGGTGTTTGAAATGGTAAACTGTGATGTATTGGCAACCAGCGTTACGTTGTACTCCTAAATCAACGACCAATTAGGCGTTTCCGTCACCGGCAGTGGAGCCACCACTCTGGCGAAGGTCAGATGCCAGACTATCATACTTTGATTTTTGGCTACCTATTTTCTAACGTTTGTGTGTGTATTAAATGATCTAGCAATTTCCTTTGTTATTATTTACGATCCGGCCGCTACTTATTGTGGGGTTCCGAGAAATTCCATCCGTCTCATCTTCGCTCTCTTTCCCTTTTCTGTAATCCCACCAGATTTTGGTTGGCAGCTTGTGTAACTAACATGATGTATAGGGTGCTTCGTATCGACAGTCATATTCACAGGACGTTGCTAAGGTTGGGGCATCTCAAAAGTATTCAAATTCAAGTGTTACTTCCTCGAAATGTTGTATATTTGTTGTGTTTCTGTTTAGCGTTGTTTACAGTTACCTCTTGCTGCAGTTTTCCTTATATTTAACCTCTGTGATTTGGAATTTTCTTCAGCGCGGTTCAATAAACTTATCTGACACCCTCCACCCCTGGGTGCGCCATCTAAAGCGGACTACCCTACTAGGAGTCCACATGGATCGTCCTTCAGTGGGTCCCTCTTAGTTTTACCGTGATACACAAATCATGGCTGTTAAGCCCACCCTCACTCAAATTTTCTTGAAATTCAACTTCAAAATTGACACCAATAATGGGGGTTTGATTGCTAAGGTAGATAATTTACCAGGTGCTGTGTCATACACGGAGGAAATCGTGAACAAACTGAATATAAAGTTTTATGATCACGAATTCCTAACCTATAAATGCAAGGATATTTTTGCTCAAATGTTAGGTTAGTCAATATATGTAACCGAAGAGGAGCATAATAGTGCAAGTACTTCCACTTGTATTTAAATTATTTTCATAATCCAAACAAAAAATACGTAATTCGAATGCAAATGTGTACTCCGTAAACTTAACCATACTTTGATTTAAATTCGCGCGTTCTTTCGTAAAACGTCCTACGATCTTGAAATCATGATTGCCGAAAGAAAGCGCCTCTGGATACGTAGGGGAATTGTACGTATGCATTCTTTTACGTCTCTGTATATTGGAATACTGCCGTTAAGGAGACACACCTCGGAGCTCTATGGGAGACACTTTCGCCTCCCTTGTTATTTCTCATGCATTATCATAACAAATCCATTAAAATCGCGTAATTTTAAGTTTAAACCATGGACAAATTAACTTTAATATCGGGGACACTCTTTATGGCCGCAGACGTATTCGCCATAGTGAGCTTAGCGATGCCTGATTGGATTATTACCGATGTTGGAGGTGTTTTTTGTGTTACAAAATCCCTGATACAACTTGTTTACATGTTTCTTTCTAAGGTGACACGCGACTGGGCTTAATGTGGACCTGTATGACCCTCTACAACCGTCCCCAAGTGTGTTTCACACCCGACTTACAACCCGAGTGGCTCCTTGCGCTTGTCTGTATTTTTGTAGGCTGCATATGTATTACAACCACGATAATACTGCTGGCCTCCTCGCATTGGGACCGAAACGTCGTACCGTACGCACGATGGGTTGGGTTCACCGCAAGTACGTCGCTTTAATTTTTAGGGTGTTAGATTATAATTTTTTGTTCGTAGTGGTTTTATTCTGCCTGGCAGCTGTTATATTTCCAATGGGCTTTCATGTCGATGAGATCGGTGGTCAGCCCTACCAACTTCCAAATAGTCATCAAGTTGGCATCTCTTACATTTTGTTTGTTTTAGCATTGTGGATTACGGTTATTTCGGAACTATTTGCAGGCAAAGTGTGTTTGCCACATTTTTAAAGTGTTTATGTTGTAGTCTTCTATAAAAAAAGGTTTATTACTCGTAATTGCGTTTCTCTAACACGAACTAAGCCTTACTGCAAGTGTCTCTAGTCTAGTTTTAAAATACCAAAATGGAGTTACCCGATTCGGATGCAACATTTTGTAGGCAAGTAGAAGACCCTGTCATCCAAAAACCACCGTCTACGCAGAACTTTTTAATGGAACAAGAGGTTATGTCCAATACGACCGAGAAAAGGAGATCTAAACGCAATCGTAATGAAGTTACCTACTTTCCTAAAACGTGTGAAGTTCAAAAACGCAAAAATGACAAAACCAAAGACTCGGTCACCCAAATACCATCGAGTGAACCTTCCACTCAAGACATTTTAATGGAGCAAAAGGATACGGGCAATCAAAACTTATATTCGTTGCTGAATGCTCATATCGTAAAAAGTCTAAAAAGTTTGAAGGAGAAGAAGCTTCGCTTGAAGCACGATTTAGTAAGGAATTTTAAATCTGACGGCTTTGAAATTTTGTCATGTGAAATGGGGGAGGAAGATAAATTGCAAGCCGAGATTGAATTCAACAAACTCAAAGATACCAACCACTTCGACTTTATTTAAAAACCTGTAGTTTCTTTCGTTCAGTTAATTGTATACGTTCATTGTCAAATAAAAGCGCTACTAAACTCGAATGTACTGGTTTTGTTGACACTATAGAATTCCTTTTCCTTTAAAGGACTTTGCTGTCTTAAATTGTTGCCAAAAAAATTTTAACAAAAGTTGTTGTGTTATAGTGAGTTGGAATGGTAGAAAAGCCATGACTGAGATCTCGTCTACATAAGACACACAAAATAACAACTGTGCAAAATTGTGGACGCAATAGCTTCCTAGCTCAAACAAAAAATCGCATTTTTGGAAGTAGTGTGTCTTTAAAAAATGGTTAGTGCCAGAGAAAGAACGTTCGCCCTTCATTATTTTCCGTAAGTTTTCAATTTGAAAAAATTAAGTTACCCTACACTTGACCCTTAAAAGGAACAGAGTTATGTTCATTAAGTGAAACCCTCCATATTATGATGAATATCTTATATAAATCTTTTTTTTTTATATCCCCGTTAGTTTCCGCAATAATCGACTGTCTCAAGATATATATTGAACACCTCATTATATAAATTAATTACGTGAGATTCAAAGATAAGATTCAGAAATTAATAGTCGCAGTAGCCGCAACTCTCAAAAGAAATTACTGTTACACCACAATGCGTTTTGCTTATACAGGTACAGTTAAACTCCAATAGATCATCCGCTGAAACTCATACCTTTTCGAGGCAAAAATGCGTCAAACGTATAACCCGCTATTTATTATCGCCCCTGTTCTGAATTCCATTTCTTTGTTACACGTGGACAAAAACGAAATTTATCCAAATTTATAATCTTATACGTACTCTATTCATTTTAAAAAGGTAGCGGTAGTGAGATGCCCCAATAGCCCCAACCTTAGCAACGTCCTGTGAATATGATTGTCAATACGAAGCATCCTATACATCATGTTAGTTACACAAGCTGCCAACCGAAATCTGGTGGGATTACAGAAAAGGGAAAGAGAGCGAAGATGAGACGGATGGAATTTCTTGGAAGACCACGTGTTTACAATTTCAAACTCAGTACTCTGAGGCTAAAGATCATAACAAAACTACGAGTAAAAAATAAGAGGAGAGCGAACCTTGCAATGGATACGGAAGTTATAAGAGGGAGGGATACTACATACACAGCTGCTGACTCGTCCTCCATTTTGAAGCCCACTGCAGACAATTTAGATTTACGCTTGCAAAACATTGCATGTCCGGGCGCATGTATTTGTCTTATTATTTAAAGAAAAAATAGTGATTTTTTAAGGTTTATTAACGCATAAAGGTATATTTAAGGTAAGAGTTTGTAGTGTACTTAACCCCCAGGTTCTACGCTAACTTCACACTACAAGAACACGGAAATAAAGTCAAGCCGACAACGTTTAAAAATGGCCACCCGATTGACTATTCCCGCCAAAACTAAACACAAAAATAAACTTGGAAAATGGTAGTTCACAAAATAAAAATAAAAATAGGCTGGAAAAATAAAAACTTTCCAATAAAAAAACCAGCCGTCAAATTAATATTAAATTGTGTAGTAAAATTGTTTGTAATGATGTGAAAGCGTAACATAAAATTATAACAACACAAAAAGTAGCATGTACCTAGATTTCAAGAGGTAACATTTAGATTAAAAACCAGTTTTGGGAATTATGGATCATGTAAGAAGGTGCCATGATTCTAAGAAAGGGTGAAATACACAGGATGTGACTCATCTTTGGTGCATTAAAGTCCTTTTGTTAAACGCAAGATGGAAAATGACATGGCCTTGTAGGCAAATTTAACTAAAGACAAGATATGTGGAAATTATTGAATCGCCACTCATTTATCGCACATAGATTCTAAACTGAAGAGCTTTGATTAGCGTAATCCCGCTCCTGCAAGATAGGTAACCCGCCCCTAGTTTCAGGGTTTCGAGCCTACAGTTGAATATCGAAGACAATCACGGAATTATAGCTGTCGTAGCTCAGTTTTGACTACAGTTTTTTTACCACCCCCGTCACTGCTTCATTCACGGAGCACATGTTAGTTCCAAACAACAAGTCAGTACATACATCAAACGAATCGGTAATTTCCACATATTAAAATAAAATGATCAAAACTTATAGGAATGTTATTTCAAGGACAAGACCAAGTAATCAACATCAATAAATATAAATTAAACAAACATTACATCAAAAACGTAAACAATTACAAACAAAAAGGACAACGGTATTAAATATGTGATTCAACATTGCGGGTAAACCAAGTAAATTTCAAAAATAAAGATTGAAATGCGGCATACAAAACAAAAATACCTACGATATAAAGAAATGTGCCGGCTCCAGACGCACGCCGTGACTTCACGCCGTGAATTCATACCGCGAACAACCTCGAATGTCACGGACCAAACTTTACCTCCACACTCACAAATTATTTCACAGTTGACAGTGGCGAACCCTTTGAAGCGCGCAAAAAGACCGACTCGAAACGTGAAAGCACGCGCGAAGATACCTACGTGAACTCCGTGAAGAGGCGTGAAAACCATCCATACTCGCGTTCGCAGGGTTTCACGGGTGTTCGCGGCGTGAGTCTGGAGCCGCCTTTAAAAATTACTATACCTGCATTAAATAACACAAAATAACAACAAACATTTATGGAGCGACGCGTTCACGGTCGCCATTCAAGACAAGATGCCAAACGTAACCCACGTTCGCGTAAGTTGTATTTGCAGAATGGAACCTGCCAAGTTTATACATTAAACTGTTTTACCGGGCACAAATTCGGACTCTCAGTGGGTTCCAAAATGGCAGACGAGTCTGCTACCTTAGTCAGGCCCATCACACAATGAAAAAAATAAGGAATAAGAAATCTCAAATATGGAATAAGAAATAGTGACGCCGTACACGCAAAACACAACAAACAAATAGCAACAGACTATAAGCCAATCAGAACACTCATGCCGTTTGAATTACGTCATTATAATGGCAGCTAAATGTAAGGCAATAGCTCGCTAATTGCACCCATATCAGATATAATACCAACTTCCAAGTTCATAACTTCACAAAAACAACACCTCATACTTGTTTTATTTTGGGTTAACAAGGTAAAATAATGAAAATAGATAACGCGTGCGCGCCTCTTCTAATGTCATTGGTTCGCAATATGAAATAAGGAATAAAAATTCGACTGAACGAAATTATTATTTCTTATTTCCTAGGTTTATTTCATATTTCAGTGTTGTGTACAAATCCATAAAGATCAGGTAGATTGAAAATTGTTATTCCTTATTTTTAGATTTTTTAGATGTTTTAAGCAAAGAGACTACGATCTTGTACAGTGGCACCACGCCCAGAAAGTCCCTGACAGGGCGTGTCCGAGGCATCACATGCCTATGGTCCGAGCCGAGGGAGCTAGAAATTTAGACCGTACATTCTGATGCAAAATTTAAAAACTGCACTTTTAAGGGACTTGCCATAGACATATACAATGCATATGAGAATAAGGAATTACATTCCTTATCAGATCGTAGATCCAAGCTATATGCGTCTTGAAAAAGACGAGTTTGTGGAGACCGAAAACGTAAAATAAAGCAAATACAAGAAGCAAAGTGTAAACTAAAATAACGTGAAGCGTCAACCGTCAACACGGAATAAATTAATAATTATGCGTATATATAATTATGGGGCGGAATGTATCGCGTGGTTTGCAAACTTTCTATTGGCCAGCCTGAATTGTTTCAAAATTTTTTCGCATATTTTCCGGGGCTTTTCTGAGCATGGTGGCACATTGTGGAGCGACGAGTGACAATATTCAGTGACTCTCCCTGTATGAAGAACTAAATAACCTACCCATCCCGTCACTGTGAACTACTGCTGTATTATCCAGAGTAGTTCTAATGATGTAATACACAAACAGTCAAAAGTCAATAAAATCAAAAAGATTTTGTTAGTAAATATAACGAATTCGTACCTAAAACCCAAATTAAAACGTAATATTTTAGAACAAAATGGCAAACCACACCTCACAGGGCGTCTACGCCCCATTGCCGCAATCCTTAAGCGACTCTGACTCTGAAAAGGACATTCCGATAACCATACGCACCAAATTTTCAGATCGACTCAACAATTTCCAAAACGGCGTGCACGAAACGGTCCATCACAACGGGTACGTTAGCCCGTTGCAAATAATGAAGCTGCCCGAGGTGAGAAAGGTGACGCCCTCGATGTCGCTAAAACGTAAGGTCTGTTTCGTATTCTCGATCGCTGTCTGCTTTCTAACCATCGTGGTATTCCTGTGGGTCATCCCGTGTTCGGAGAGCGGAACGTGTCCGGTTAGAATATCGAATTGGGAGAATCAGCACGACGGCATCGAACTTACCGGCAAAATCAACGTCGTTAAGAGCGCTTTTAAGAACACGGCGAATTTAGTGTTACTCTTCAAGCAGAACTTGAATTCGGCCGACAGTCAAAACGGCATTATATCCGTTTTAGGTAATAACGGTGCCGTCGCCTGGTATATTAATCAGGCGAAAGCTTCGACGGACTTAAATTGTTATTTAATCGACGTCAACGGCGATGACATAAACGACTGTTTGGTGCTAGGCGAGATGGGATTGGAGGCGATCGATCCCGTCTCGGGTTCGGTATTTTGGCACGCTCACAATCACTCGCAAAGTGTGGTGATGACCGGTCTAGATTTCCCCGTTATTTTACAGGATTTAAATTACGATGGCATTAACGAGATACTAACTACCACAAACGCGGTTTCGGGCGAGAGCAAATTTTTGATTATATCCGGCAAGACTGGGATTTTGTTGGGGGAAATTAGCGTGTCGCATTCTGGCCATCTTGGTATAATCGAGATCAATGCCAGTAGCGTTATTTACTCGTGCACGGTCGGCAACGAGACAATTTACCACCAGGTCTCTATCAGCGCTCTGATCAGTAACGTATTTAACCGAGGCGACAGTCTAAATTTACCCAGGGTGAAGTTTACGCCCGAGTCGCATGCGGGTTACACTTTAAATGGGCGCAAGCTACTAATAAATAACGTGGGAACTTGTCCCGACAGTTGTCGGGTAGATATTGCGTTAATCGACGAGAAGAAGGTTCAGAACAACATCGTGTGGTCGTACCAAAATTCGTACGCGTTCATTCCGACCTCGTTTTCGTTTAAACAAACCAAGTCCAATTTGAGCTCGCTTAAAGGTCACGTGAACGGTTTCATTTTAAAATTATGGCAGTGGTTCGGCTACAGTCACAAGGATAAGGCCAAACGGTACCTTACAAAGCGTTACGTCCCCGGCAACAATTCAGCGCCGCAAATTAATTCAATCATGGAACGTGTGGTGCTGATTACGTTTAACAACACCAATTTTCATGTAATCAACGCCAGCTTGACCGAGATAACTCAATTGTGTTTCCCGAACGAAGCGAAGGTGCGCTGTCAGCCCGGTTTGGAGAACCAGAACAGTTCCCTCCTGATTACCGACTTGGACGTCGACGGTTCGCAGGAATTGGTCAGCTACTCGAGTACCTATCTCAAAAGGGAAGATCTAAAAGACAACTGGCAGCTCGTTTCGAACATGAAGGTCATTCGTTTGGAGGCGGAGCTTCCAAAGCTATACGAGGTGGCTAAATAAATCGCACCCTTTTTTTTAACGTACTTTTCCTCTTCCAATAGAACAATGCACTTAGTTTTGAGCCTAACTGTTGACACACTGAAGATATCTATTTTTTGTTTCGTTAAAAAATATAATGTACGTTATGTTCCACACAGGACAAAATGCCGAGCTCTGGCACAAGTATAAGGGAACAAATTTAATATATTATACTCGTAGTATCTAGTCATTGTATAGATTTAAGGATTAATTAAGAATTTTAAAATCCTATTTATAGTTACCTTTAGTTTCAGTATTATATGATGTTCCTTTTTGTTGTGGCAGTATTTTCTTCTTTATTTATTAATCTCTGTGAATTTTGTGATATTTTTTCTTTTAATAAACTCTAGTCAACATATTTTACTCATTGTGCATTTTTGATATGGTGGTCAATCTGACTCAAAACAAATCACATTGAACTGAACACCTGAAATAAATCTTGGGCACAAATAAAAAAAAATCTGGCAAAGGAATAAACACAGTTCATTGATTGACAATGAAAAAAGTATCCTGAAGCAATTAAAATGCAAGAAAGAACAGCGTACAAAGCTTGTTTGGACATAATACCCCGCACGCAGTCGGTCGATAATTCAAAATAAAAAAAATCTTAAATTACTACAGCTCTAATAATCCAAACAAGGTTTATATTTAGGCGCACTTAACAAAACACTCGTTGACAGCTTCAGGAATCTTAATTTTTTAATTAAACTGGACTCGACATAAATAATTTTCGGTGGCTACTTTGACGGTAGACACTTTTAATGAAAGACAACCCTTTAAAAAGGCAGATACTGCTCTGTCTGCCTACACTCGAACTAACTTTTTCTGAATACGAACTTAAGCGGGTGACGCTAAATAAAATGCTGTTTGCGACCCGGGGTACGCTTCGCTCTTATCGGTCGGCGGTTTTGGCCAATGATGGTGCAGCACGTTTTAGTTTGCTGCCGGATGTGACCCGTCGCCACAAACAAAATAATTGGTACCCACCCGCATCTTTTTGTCCACCCTGCCTTTTCTGTGCTAGTCCATTCTCTCTGCCAGTGTTCTCTCATTTTTTCTTCCATCTTCTCGCGCTTCAGTTCCAGAGAGACTCCGCTTTGATTATGACAGACATGTTCTTTGCACGCTTGTGATTTTTGTGCTCATCTGTCTTCATATGTGGCCCTTATCATATGTTTCTGTGTTTGTTGATTCTTATCGCCCCCACTCAGATTGGGGCTCCAAACACATGAACACTTGTCTTTTCACATGCGTTGGCCCTCCTATACTTTTGGCAGGAGTCTGCCGAGGTTCCCCATTAGCTGTAGTGCCCTCTCTTACGTGTCCCCCTTGAATCTGTAACGGTCCTAGGGGGTCTATCAAGCCGACACTGAAAACGTTGACTTACCTTACCGTTGATGGCAACTCCAGGAAAAAACGACGAGCAGAGCCACCTACCTTTCAAGTCGAAACGATAGAAGTTTGGTGGCAGTTTCGAATTTGGATGGCAATCGGCTCGATATGGGTGGCATGAATGAACTCCTACGTTGCGTAATCGGTTCTTGTATGGGTTGGGGCGTGAGACATAATCGGGAAGGGAATTACATAAAAGAACTTTTGTGCGTAAGAAATGACAAGAACAAATAAATATATTACGCACACAACAAGATCATACCAGGGAAACCTTCTACGGGACAAAAACCCCGGCATAGTCCACACTAAATACATGAAATAAATCACCTACAGCAATAAAATGCAAAAGAAAATACGTGCGGCGTTGTAAAGTGTGCAAAGTATATGATAAACGAACGAAAGGAATATCATTTCACGCGTAAGTACTTTTTTTGAGGTTATATTGCTGTTATGTTTGTTATTGGGGCGTAGGTTATTTACGTGCTCATTTTATAGAATTACGAAGAATTTAAACGGCAACGCCACTGTTGGTGGAGGCAACTGTCATTCCTCCTTCACACCCGCGCCTAAATACATGTTGGCTTCAGTTTTACTGCATGTAGTAGATAGAGAATGCCGTGTCCAGTTATTTTTAACGTCATTGATCTGTACGATCCATTGAGCTAACACAACTCGTAAAATAATAAATTGCATGTGCATAGGAAACATCTATGGTGTGGCTCTACTCCAGCCTTCAGTTAACATACATTAATTTAACACGAAAAGTACATGTGCATGAGAATGCCAATAGCAAGTATTCATGTGAAAATCGATTATCTCTCAAGCAAAACATATTTTAAATAGAGGAAATGTTAATGAGAGAGCCCCTAAATATCTCGCATTGCTAAGATGCCAAGAACTGCAATCCGCACGAGACGAGTAGGCGGCAACAGATACAGCGAAAGGTCGAACTGTATTTAGATATCTACTCCACGGAGACAGAATGATCAACCACTCGCACACACAAACATCGAAACATCAAATAAGAGACCCCCTTCATATAGCTAACGCACAAGAACTGCAGCGCGCCATGAATAAGAAAGTAACAGATACAGCGTCACGGAATAGTTAGGAATCAATCGAACAGAGCAACATCGCACTGATAATCAACTCCTCGTGAATACAGAAATAAATACTTAATAAAACAAAATAATGGCATAATCACTTGTACAGTATAACAAACACGATTCATCAAACGGTACTCAAAAACAAAAGCATGGAGTACGCAATATCAAAGAATACTTAATACTCTTTGGCAATATTTAGATATCGCAGTTTATACAAAATCAGCAAAATGTGAATAATATCAAATTGTGGCAAGAAATTCAATGATTAATAGTTATCCTTGAGGTGTCCCGCTATCCCGCAGCTGAAACAGTGCTTTTCCCTGGACACACCTTCCCTACACTTGTGGTCAACTCGCCCTTCTGTATCTCCCAGCACTTTCTGCATTTTGTTTAGTCTACAGGAAGCTACACTCACCCAAACTCGATAGAACGTGTGTAGTTTCGCCGCTGCCGTTTTATCCGCATAGATTATATATATTATGGTTGTTCAGCTCTGTCCTTCCGTCACCTTCTAGTGTTTAATGTTCACCTTGCCGTCTATCACCAGAACTCCAAGCACCGCCTCCTCATCCACGTCTTTGTTCTGCATGAGCCGGTTTAGTCTCTAAGGCGGAAGACCGCCGTCTCCCCTAACGGTCAGTTTGGCATCCGTCATTTCCGTACCTATTATGTCACTCCTAGATCACGTCGGTTTTCTAATATGTACGTCTTTGATGGTTTTCCGGATGGCTTTGACTGTCTGCAGGTACCGCTTATGTATACTCTGCCATCTTCTTGGGCCAGGATACTAACTTCTGGCGGATCCCTTATGGTCCGACATCTCCATGAAGTTGTGATGCTTAATGCTTTTGTTGTAGAGTATGCACTCGGTCATCTTCGCTACCACTATAGGATCTCACCTTGGGGCTGACAGCTTGACTATCCCGTTATTTTGCAATCGTGCAGCAGCCTTCCTAAAACTGTCGACCTGACTTTTTACGTTTCGTTCCGCTTCCTGTGATTCCTCGACTAGCAAAGATCTGCCTTTTCATTTTCCTCGTATCCTTCTGTGATAACAGGCTCGCTAGCGAATTCCAGCCGTGCAGTTGCCAGTTTTTTCCTGGTTTTCTCCTCCTCTGCTCGGTGCTGATAACCATAAACTCACTAACTGCTTTTTTCCGGCCACCTCATCTGAACTACGCTCATCAGTATCTCGTACTGAGCGGGCCGCATCAATCAAGGCCTCTATCTCCTCCCTTCTGACTTAGTCTGCCCTCATCCCCCTTTTGCATCGGCAGTATACACTTCCCCTCTTTCGCCTTTCCGGTTTTTCTTCTGCATCAGCGCTGCTTCTAGCCGTCCCTAGCCCTTCAATCTTCATTCAACTTCCTCACGTCTTCACTAACAAACTGCAACACCTCAACGCCATCTTTAATTTGTTTGGAAACTTTTTGGTTTCTTGGTAATTTTTTCGAATTTGCAAGCGTTATCGAAAAAAACGAGTAGTGAATTGAAAATAAAATTTTTAAAATGGGGCAGTAGGTTACAAAGCATTTGCGGACCTATATTTACAAGAATTTTATTCATAAGATAAGCTAAAGAATTAGCTCCGTTTCGTATACATCATATTGGGGAGCCCCTGTATATACAACACAAATTGATGGTATTTTAGCCACATCCAAAGGTTAATGACGTTCTTGTTTTGGTGTAAATTTGACTGATATAAACATTTAGGCGCTTTTGTTGTATTTTATAAACAATAAGTAAAGTTGTTAATTTTACAGTGTTTTGTTATTAATTATAACATATTCTAGTGGATAATAAAGCGGTTTACTTTCCGGATCAGCAGAAGATGGAACAAGAGGCTAATGAGTGTTTTCAAGGAAAAGAATGGTTGAAGGCGGCTGAAATGTACAATAAACTGTTAACAAAGTCACAGAGCAACGACCTCACAATTGGGTACCTGCAAAGGCGGTCGCAGTGTTTATTAGAATTGGGACAGTACGAAGCGGTAAGTATCGACTGTAAACATAGATTTGTACCATGCAAACGTACGGTCTTGGCTTTAATGACCTTCCTCGCACTTGCGGGTATGGCGACGCCGAGCTGAGGCGAAGGACGCGAAAATTACTTGACATTTTTCGAACAAACGCCCCCTACGTTTTCTATCTCATTTCATTCGGAAAACATAACGTAACTGAGCGCTTTTCAGGTGCCGATAAACGATCTGCTTCCCTCGTGCGTCTACTGCAACGTCATATGCCGCGACAAATCCGAACTAAAAGCGCACTGCCAAACGGAAACACATCTGACGGTCATAATGTCAGACGAGGGGAGAGACTGGCACTGGCGGCCACCTCCCAGAGGTCTAAACGCGGAGAAGTACACGTTGTGCAAATACTGTGATAGGAAGGAGAGCTGCCGGTTCGGCGTTCAGTGCGTCGAGGCGCACGGTTTGGAGGAGTTAAGCGAGTGGAAGGAGAGATATAAATACCGCAAGATGAAGTTACAACGGGCATACGAAAAGGAACTATTCGGTATGTATTGTTCATTAAGACCCCCCATGTGCCAGTAGCTCTATCTCTGGGTAAAATCCATGTTAGAGGGAGATAGGTAGTATTCAAACTGCCACACTGAGCATAGTCTTGAAGGACTTAGGAACTTTTACTTTTCGGTCATTGATATTTGCTGCTATTACGAGATGCTGTTGTCAAATTAAAAAAAAATCCCCTGCTCTACGCACGCGTATAGTCAACTGTTCTTGTGTTGCCTTTGTTTGCTTCACCAATGAGGCGCATAAACTCAACTGTTGTCATCAAGTGCTCTGTTTGCTTACATACTGAGGCAAATTGCTCTTTGCATGTGCGCATTTATCCCTTCTCAAGCGTGATGTGTTGTTGTCTGTGTTTGGGAGTTGTCATTATTGCAGTTCAGCGTTTTCTAATTTTTGGTAAAATGTTGACTCCTGTCTTTTAGGGGATCCTGCTGTCAAATCTCGTGGAAAATCCCATCTGATTAAGAAGTGTGGTTATTTGTTTCAGCTATGGCCTCCTCCCCACTTACTATATTAAGTTGCAATTCTCTTTCAGCCTTGAGGGGAAAATCCTTGAGGGGAAAATTAGCAAGAGCAAGCCAGAGCGACTAAAACGAAAATCCGTATTAATAACTTTTTTTTTTTTTTGCTTTCAATTTAAGATTTAGGATATTTAAGATATACGTTTTAATACTCCTTACGCCATCTTACATTTCCTCTGTAAGTTCATGTAAGTTAGATCGTTGGCATCAATTTCACTTCTTCGTAGTTTCTTATTCTTCCAGTAGAGGTCATGCAAAGCATCTTTTTCGATTTAAAATATCTTCCGTTTCCATGATCTTTTATGTGCGCACTACCTGTTCTGCAAAGAAGATTCATTGCTTTCGTTTGAGTTTGAAATTGCATACACGCTTTTGCCTTTTTTACTTTGACTAACTTCGTCATTACGTACGGTCATGTGATTACATTGACCTATAGAATTTATTACACCTGTAGACATATTTTGTTGTTCCTGTTAACTGCAAGGATTACCGATTACCTTTTTGAAGATTATTGTTAACCATTGAATTGCTCCCAAAAAGTTTAAGAATAGAAAATGTAACATGAGCCCTGAAAAATAACACCCTGTAAATTTTCACTATCATTGACATCACCAATGATGTAAGCCCTTCAATGTAACGTAAGTATTTCAAATTTGAGCAAAATAGCTCATGAACTGTAGGAGGTTTAAAAAACTTAGATTCCCTAGGATCCCAAGATTCCCTTATATACTTACTATATAAACAACAGCTGACTCGTCCGCCATATTGGAGCCAAATTCCAAGTGATAAAAATTTTGTCGGTTTTTATTATGACAAGCTATTCAGCGATAAAATCTCATTAGTCATTTTCATTCAAGTAGAGGTGATACTTTTCACAGGTAAGCACATTACAAATGTAAAATATCGTTATTTAGGTACTAAACGATGGAAAACGAAATGGAGCTTTCAACTTGAGAAAATTGCTCGCATTATCCGTTAGAAGTAAGCAATTTAAAACGCATTATATCGGAGTAACAAAAGAAATAGAAAAATACAAAACATTTTTAAATAAATTCCTGACGGATGAAATGTTCGCGCTCTATATTGGCTCCAATATGGCGGAGCTATCCTTTATATAGCAGCGGTAGTTTTTTATATTCCTCATAATATCTAGATTCTCTAGATTCGTTAAATTCCCTAGATTCCCTATAATCTTTAAATTTACACCCTGTAGATCGCTAACGAAGAGTTTGCGGCGCAATGCTTCTATTAACTGTTAATCACAAAATAAGCCAATGAATTAGACCCTTCCGTATTTACATCATATTTAGGAACAGCCTATATATTTCAGGTCTTATTTGTAATATTTTGAAACCATTTATTTTTGTAGTAAATTCTCATCGATTTTGACTGTACGCAAATGAGAATTGCTACATTCCTTCGATTCGCTGGATTCCTTAAATTTTCTAGATTCCCTGGAATACCTAGATTCCCTAGAGTACCTAAATTCGCTAGATTTCTTAGATTCTTTAGGTTCCCTTGAATACCTAGATTCGCTAGATATTCTGGATCCCCTAAAATTCCTAGATTCCTCAAATTCCCTAGATATGTTAGATTCCTTAAATTCCCTAGAATCAATATATCTCTTAGATTCCTTATCAATAGATCTCTTAGGTTCCTTAGATACCTTAAATTTTCTAGATTCTCTGGAATACCTAGATTTCCTAGAAGATCTAAATTCGCTAGATTTTCTAGATTCTTTAGGTTTCCTGGAATACCTATATTCCACAGAATCTCTAGATTCGCTCGATATTCTGGATTCCCTAAAATTCCTAGATTCCTTAAATTCCCTAGAACACTTAGAATCTTGAAAGTTTAACACTCTGTAGAAGGCTAGACAAGAGCCTCTCTGGCCCATCTCTACTTTGCCTGAGCTTATCGTGCGTGTGCTTAAAGTGCACGTAGCAATTCCCACCGCGCGTCCTATCCAAGAAAACATTCACTGATAGCGGCATGTAGTCCACCAGACGCGCGAGTTGAGGCGTTTGATTAACCGAGCGTAGACAATGCTTTCGAATTTTTTGACACTTATTTAAGTGGGTGCCTAAAGCTTTGGTATGCCATTTTGTGTTTCCCGATAAGCGTGCAGCTGGGAGGAGAGCATATGCTCGCGCCTTTTTCGTCGACTGTGTTCCTTAATTTCGGTCTGACGAACGAATGCATAAATGACAGTACTCAGGACCTATTAACTACGAGAACGCTGACTGGTATTAGGGGTTGAAATGGACAGTGGTTCACTGAATCCAGTTGGAGACTCTATTGCCCTTGTTGAGAGAATAATAATGTCTTTATTATAATAGGCCTAGGTCTGCTTCTGCCGTAGTAAACAATTTAAAACCAACCTCAAACCAGTGTATCTTCTTTTGGAACATTTCAATGCATATTCATGAAGTGATAAAATTAAAATATGAGTCAATTATAAGAGGAGAAAATCCTTCAAGAAGTCTGTACACGACCAACCGTATCTATCTGTTAAATTTATTCATACCAGACCACGCGCAGATTTATAGAGGATGCTACGGGTGTTCCTTCTGGACTTGAAAATTACCATCGGTTCCGCCCGGCAAGGCAAACCGTCTTCTTCTCAGGCTGCTCAATCGATAAAAATAAATGCTCCGGCTAACTCAAATCGGTGGGCTTTTAACTCTTTTGAAACTACGTAACAAACCTTAACCTGCCGTCTACCAGTCTCCTGCCTCAACTCCTACTCCTCCCTTTCCTTCCCCTCGTTCTTCGTTAAAGACAGGCACATTGAAACCAAATAGATAATATATTGAAATGAGATTAGCGATACAAACAATTTACAGGGATCTAGCAGTTCTTCTCTTCTCCTTGTAAAAACACTAGCTTAACAATGACAACTAAACTAAATAAAAAATCCTAACAGGTGAGACTAATTTACTCAAGGGGTGGCCATCCTCTACAGTTTGAAAATTTCAACAACAGGTAATCGTTTTTTACTCCAGCGTGGGCTGGGACTTATTTAAATAAACACAAAAATTTATCCTACTCTTTGGTAATCGTTCATTGGACTTTAATAAACAATCAAATCAAAAATTTTTTTACTATAGCTTAATTACCAAAAAGTGGAATTTTACAGAATGTTACAAATTTAATTAGACTAACCTTTACAACATTTGTACAGCCGATCTTGTGAACTGCTCTTTCCTCTGGTACAGGGTGGATGTGATGAAACCTGACACTTAGGTCTCTGTGACTTCCTAGGGGGTGGCTTGAATTTAACACACGGAAACAAAAATCCATGGTGCCTATCCTTCCTCGGAACGAAAGCAAAGTTTAGCGTTTGAACTGAAACTTAGTCCAGGAAATCCTTCGCGTGGCGAGTGGGAGACGGCTAGTTGCCAAAGTTTCTACACAGCACGTGTATTTAATTTTATTTTATTAGTTTATTAGCTTTGACCGCCTGCGGGAGACGGATTTTTGAGTTAGCGGTACGGCAGAACACAAACTTTTATGATCACTATCCGACGGTAAACCGCGATGGTTCAAAGTATTATTTCACCAGCTCTTCTTGGGGCAAATATCTCTCCGAAACGCAGCGCTCCTTCGACAAATGACCGTACGGCACTAGTAGGAAATTCCACCTGGGGCGGATCCCGAAATTCTGCGCCTTGAGGACTAGGGCAGCACTTTGATTTATATATCCTCGAGAAATCACAACGTATCCTAACGCGATTCACTGCATCCAAAGTAAACTGGTGTGAAGCTCAAGGGTTCGCCAAAATATCACCTGATTGGAACCTGGGTCTTCTTCGCCAAAAAATCAACGCGAAAAGAAAATAACACTTCGGAACGGGTGCAAAAAGCACGCAACTGGGAGCAACCGAAATAAGCCGGTGGCTCAAACCGCCAAGTGTACCAAAAATCGCTCAAGGTACGTGTTGACCGCTTGACGTACTAACCGCGAGTCTCCCCAAAAACGATCCCCTTCTTCAGAATTGAAATGAAAAAACCACACCCAAATTACCATAAAACAAAAATGGCTCCCGCTAGAAATTCTCCCATTGGTTCAGATAAAGAAGACTTAACCCACTCTAACTTCGTCGTTAACCTCAAGGAACTGCTGACTAAAACTGATCTCACGGTTTTCTGCTGATGACGTGAAAAACTCCTTATCTCTTGACGGCTCGGTGCTACATCCGCTCCTTTTCTCGGTCTAGACGGCGCCAAAGTTGATAAACGAACGACAAAAAACTCTCATTACTCATGATGACGTCAATCAGCTTTGCACTCTTCCCACGACGAAATTAAATCTGAGCGAAATTAAATCTATCGGACCATAGTCTTGAGCGAACCGAAATGCCCAAACACAAAACTTCTAACCGGAACAAATAATGAAATATACAGGGTGACCTGCACTATCATGACAAGAAATTCGAAATTTTTAATGAAATTTGGCGCGAAATCAAACCACTCGTTACAAGGATTATAGCCACTTGCATATATTATATTATACATCTAATTCAATTAATTATTGTTAATTAATATAATATTTTTTTACAAAAAAAATTAGTTACCGGTCGAAACCGGGTTTTTCAGGCAGGTGAAATGAATAGAAATTGGGAAAAAATAATTAAAACAGCTAAATTTTTCCGCGGGTGAAATCCCGGGGGTTGAAAGGGGTGGAAAATGGTGTTTTGTAAATTGTGGCAAAACTGTTAATTTTAGACGAAAATGTTAAATTTAAAAATTATAGAAATTAAAAAAATGAGCAACTTTTGTATCTGCACTATTTTCACAACCTGCAATTTTCCTAGATAAACCGGAAAAACTGTTTTTCTTTTTTTATTCTTATTTTTGCGAAAAAAATGTAGGGGTTTGAAATTTAGAGGAAACATAGCTTGTTTTATGATAAAAAAGAAGATAATTTTTTGGGTCTGTAAAGTTGAACCGTTTCCAAGACCTCACGAGATCTGAAAAAACCCACCTCTTTCTCAAAGAGATGAAAAATCTAAACGACTTACACCACTTTCCACCCCTTTCAACCCCCGGGATTTCACCCGCGGAAAAATTCAGCTGTTTTAATTATTTTTTCTCAATTTCTATTCATTTCACCTGCCTGAAAAACCCGGTTTCGCCCGGTAACTAAAGTTTTTTTTAAATAAATTATTTTAGAGCTATTTAGCCTGGACTAGTAGTGAATTATTCCGATAGTGGATCCGCCCTGAATATAATTAATCAAATGCTTCACATTTCTACTCAATATTGCATCTTTCTAGAATCTGTGAATTGCATTCAACTACTCTACAATTAAAGGGCCCCCGAGCGCTTTCTTTACAAGTTGAATATCCATTCCTTAAGTACAACATAAAACAATTAGGTAGGCTAGAATCGTAAATTTTTCGCCGTCATTGCTTTAGTCTCAACCGAATTCCGTTGTCGTGACCCAACTCATATGGGTTTAAAATGGTTAACGCCGAAACTGTTTTTATGAGAAGAGAACTGGTTTACATTTAAAATGCGGGATCGACCGTTCCCTACGAATCAAATTTGAATTAGGATCGTGAATCATTCACACACCAATACCGTTTTTAGCGCATTTCCACAAAAATTTAAAAAAAATGCGCTATTGTGGCCACTTTGTCCGTCCGTCCGTCCGCTCGTTTTGCGACGCTACTAGTTCTTTATCTTAAGAGCTATTGTTCTACTTTTTTCGCTATTTGGTTCGTTATGGTGTCGAGTCTTGTACCAAGGAAGGAATTTTTTCTGTACCGCTTACAAAAAAAGTTATTGTAAAAAAAACAAAAAACCGTTTTTTACATGTTCCATAATTTTACACTTTTGCCGTTTATTAACGATCCTAGAGATCGTTTATAATTTTGCATTGCTATCTGTCGCCTGCCGGTTGGTCTCTCCGTCTGTTCCTTTGTCTGTCTGTCCATCTATCTGTCCGTGTGAACGATAACTTTGTTTAGAAATGTTCGATCGCTTTTACATCTCCGTTAGTTATGAACTGAATTGCATGAAATTCAATATGGGCATAGCTTTAGCCATATAATACGCAATGCCAAAAGTTGAATCGAATCGATTCAAAATTCACAGTGCCCTTTTCGCATCTCGACCATTTATAAACCGAATTGCAAACTTTTTTACTTATAAAAGTATTTGAAGGAAATTTGATACATAGGCACTTGGAATAAAGGAAAATCAAACGCCAATTTCAAAATTTGGTTTTGCGCATGCGCAGTGCCAACTTTTTTCTTTATGGAAGAATTTAAATTTAAGTGAAATTTGATACTTAGGCGCTTGGAACAAAGGAAAATCTAACATTAGTTTTAAAATTTAGGTTTGCGCATGCGCAGTTCCAACTTTCTTATTTAGAAAAGCATTGAAATGAAATTCCTCTCATAAACTGAAATTGAAGTAGCACGTCAACAATGGATTGCCCATGTGCAACGCTATCTTTCATATTTGTGGCCGGATTTTTACGATTTTAACAGAAGTTGCATCTTACAAATGAGAAATGAATGCAAGTGGAAATGCGCTTTATGTAAATCGTTTACGATTACTTTTTAACTTGTAGATTTTCTAGTTTTTTTTTCCGTAGCGACTTATTACAAGTTTACTCAGAAACTTCCGTAGTAGTAACGCACAGCCTTCACTAATTGATTCAATTTCTTTTTAAGGGAAGTCATATACAGAACAACTGCTCGAAAAATACTTGCAAACCTCAAATCCCCAACAAATAATGGTAGAGAAGCTGGATTACGTCCAGGACACCTGCTGTGGCAACTTGGTAACGACGGTCTTATCAAAATCAAGCGCGAAACAATGGAACTTTACGCTTAAAACCAATCGTTCACTGCACGCGATCGCTCTTCTTCACGACATGCACAGAAATTATTTCACGATCAGTCAGGTCCTGTTGGTTACGAACCAGACGACGACAAAGCTCGACGTTCAAAATAACCAAGAATTCCTATCCAGCGGTAGCGGCGATGGTGCTCTCGCGCACTATCAAGTTACAATTACGTTTAAGACTGATATCTACGGTACATTCCGACAATCTGTCACATTTGACTTTGGCTATCAGCCGATTCTGGTGAAGCATCTCTGCGTCGATGTCATTCCGGCCGAGGAGGCGCAAAAAATGAACGACATCAGACAGGAGATTGTGCTGTCGTGTACGGAACGTTGGAACGCGAATAACGCCGACATTGTTACTTTCACATCGCAGAACATGATGTACACGCCGGAAAGTTACACGGACGATTTGTGCAAACTCTATCCATGCCCGCACGCCGACACGCTTAACCTGAGTCACGCCACCGTAGTCGACAAGAAGCTAACGAAGAATAATTACAATTCTCGGATGCACGAGCTACTGTACATAGAGGAGTTGGCTCGTAACGAGCAAACGAACAAGTACAACCTATCAGCAAAACTACATTTGGTTAAAAGCTATTTGCTGTCGTCGAGTAGCGTGGCGAGCTCCACGGCGAAGTATTCCAATTTTGGCGAGCTTTACGCGTTTATGAATCTCAGCCAGGATTTATCGGAGGATACGTCCTGCGGACGTCTAATTTTAAGCAACTGTACGAGTGTCTTAATAGGTTTAAATAAGAAATCGTCAAAGAGAAAGGCGAAAGTTTATGAGGCCGTCATCGAGGATAAGGGCAAGAACGTCATTTATCTGCGACTCTCCGCGACAACCGTTGCCGATTTGGGTCTACAGGCCGATACGACGCTAAAGGCGCAAGTGCAGTTTCAGCTGAACCGCTTGCCTTACTGCGAGTGGCATTACGCGATCGATAAAATGGCGGAGCTAAAACTGATATTTCCGGAGACGTACATAGAGCCTCTCATTCCGTGGTCGCCTCAGAAGCAGTGGTGCGAGAACATCGACAATCGACTTAACTTGAAACAGAAAGAGGCGGTCATCGCCATTACGACCCCCATTTCGATCGCCTTACCTCCGATTCTGATCATCGGACCGTTCGGTACGGGCAAGACGTTTACTTTGGCCCAAGCGATAAAGCAGCTCAGCAAGAACTCTGACGCGAAGATTCTGATATGCACGCATTCGAATAGCGCTGCCGATTTGTACATTAAGGATTATTTGCATCCGTACGTAGAGGATGGACATAAGGAAGCGACGCCGTTGCGCGTATACTATCAGAGACGTTGGGTGGTCACTGTGCATCCTATAGTGCAGCAGGTAAGATTTTTCAACCATATTGCAATTGTTAGATTTACGGTTACTCATCCCTTGATTTGTAAATCTGCTTATCGAAAATGATACATCCATACGGAATGGGGTCAGCATCTCGCTTGGTGGCGATTTTACTTTCTCGCACAAATCGTGTTTTTGCCCGTTTGCCTGTCTTGAAACGTGGCATAAGGGCTTACTTGAACCAAGAGGAACCTATATACCAAGTTTCAAGGTCATTACACAATAAGGAGTTATTGTCGAACATAGCAGATCTATAGAGATGGGGATAAGCGTCTTTCGGGGTAGTGATTTTTGTTTCGCGAAACGCTTTCTGTTAGTTTCCCTCCAATAATTCCTTATAGTTAAAAGGGCCCATACTAGAAAAATTACGCTCCCGACTCCATTCAACGGCAAAAAAGTTAAAATAACCAAAATTCTCTTACCTAAACGCGCACCTGCGACAACATCTGTTTACAAAATTAATTACCTTTTAGTCATAAGCGCAATTTTTTCCACGACAATGCGGCTATTTAAGAGCGCGCTGCTGGAGTGGTGGGGATCAGTGTAAAAAGTATGCCTTTAGATTTTTGTACAATGACCAGCGCAGGAGGTAACGAACTTTCATCGATCTACATTCGCTATAAATAGGTTAATTAAATTTTTGAAAATGGGCAATTTTAATTTTTTATGAAATCAAATCTCCATGAATTTTCCTTATTGCCTTCTTGGGGTCATTACAAAGATAACACTTTAAGTTTCAAGTGATTTTATGGTCAATTAAAGGAAATTTTTATGAAAATTCATCATTATAAAGTGACCCTAGAGGTGTTTCCCACCATATTTAGATCGAAAGCGAAACGTAAGTTCAGTGGTTCGCCTGTGGATGGCGCAGAAACATGGCGGATTCTCATTTGAATTTAAATTCATGACCACGGTAGTGAATATACCGCTCTCGTTCGGTGCCTTACAGTTTCGTCTCTGTCAGTAGGTATGTGGGGCGTCCCGAAAAAGCAAACGCCACATTTTATTCTAAGGTATTTCAAATCAGCGATTCCCAACCTTTTTTGACAGTAGGCAGGAAATATATCGAGAAACACAGAATTGTTTTTACAATATTTTAAAAAAACTTTCTTGTATTTACCATAAAAATTGAGCCAGTTATGATGAAAATAATATCGATCCCCACTTTCTTCAGCAAAAACAACTCCCTAACTACCACCCTTATAAAAATTAGCCCTCGAATTAGTCGTTACACTTTTTCAGTTTTCTTTATTAACGATCTCGTTTATAATTTTGTATTGCTGTCTGTCTGTCCTCCCGTCCGTCCGTCTGTCTGTCCGTGTGCACGATAACTGTGTAGAAACGTCCGATCGCTTTGCAAATTGATACACATGTTCTTCGGGATATATGAAAGGTCGCTATTGTTTTTTGGCTACGTAGACTAACGGGCCAAAGAGGTACCGCCCAAAAACCGCCCAAACCTCCAAAAAGGGTTTCTCTTATAACTCTTGTTGCAAAGAACATATGAATGTCCGGTTTTCTGTGTTAGTAAATATTTCTTAAACTACAGGCTACTATGCAGATGCAAAAAAAATATTGCGCATGCGCATTACGACATTTGTATTTGCGCAATCCCAATTTTCTTTATTTGTTAAGATATTTCATTGAAATTTAATATGTACGGTAGGCACCTCGAGTAAAAGTAAAACTAACGCCGAATCAAAAAATTTGTTTTGCGCATGCGCAGTCCGATTTTTTTTACATCTCCGTTAGTTGTGAACATAGACGGGGGGAAGGGTACATAGTAACTAAACCATAAGCGACAAAAAATTCGACAATACAGGCTGAAAGTACGTTGAAAACTAATAATAAAATCACTCGTCTGCCAGTCGTAAGTGGCAGCATTAACTTGGGGCGGCGCTGAATAGGTGACTTCTTTAGGTGATCAACTAAATTGCCAAACTATAAGGGTCACGGAAAAGATTTCTATCAAGAAATCCCATGTTTTCCATAGTTTTCAAATATGCTATGGCAGACGATTTCAAGTGCAGCGTTGGTAGCGAAAGACGCCCTTCAATGTAGGGAAAACACCCCTGAACTAAACCATGAGGACCGTATAAAAATTATCCATAAAAAATTCCTCTTTTTGTCACTACTTTAAAATATATCCTGGCAGACGATATTAAGTGTAGCTTTAATAGTGGCAGACGTCTTAGAAGTTAAAAAATTTAGGTATAGTAAATCCCAGTGAGTGCGATCGTGTGAGAGATAAGCGCGCGAGAGCACAACGAACAGAGATAGCTATAGATTTACGCACCGCTTGGAGTTACCAAACGAATTAAATTAGGGAAAATAATAAATTGTTAATTTCGCGATAAGATTGTCGGTATTTCTTGAATTCTTCTCAGACTGAGAAACAGAAAACTTGAAGAGAAAAGAAGATAGATCTTCAGCTCGTTCTAAACTATCCTCTGACTCCAGTTCCGTTGTCTCTATGCAACATTGATGGATCGATGATTAAAATCGACAAGTTTGTTTTGCCGAAACTTTTTCGGAAGTATGATTTCTTCAAGTGCTCCTAGTCCATCGCCAGTTGTATATGTTGTTTTAATCGATGGATTATTTTTTTGCATCTTTTAAAAGATCTTCGGTAAACCTTTGAGCGATTTTCTGAACACATACTCGGCAAGATTTGTGCTGTGTCAGCGAGAGAAGTACATCTTACTTTTGACAGATAGTTACCCCTTCCATGAAGGACGCAGAACATGATCGTTGGGATCAAAATAAGGAAAGATTACAATCCTATTCAATTTCTGTTTCCACTCAGAAGCAGCCTGCAAATTTCATAAAACCACTTCGCAATGATAGCTCAAAGCCTCTCTTATAGATTACTTATACCGTTCATAGGCAAAAAAAGACCTGTTGCGCTTTACTTGAAAGGAAAGTTGTGTTTGCCACATATGAAGATAAGTGCTATAAATTTGTGACAAGGGAAGATGATGTGGTAAAAACTGAATTGTGCTGCAGTCACTAAGAGGCAGATTCTCGAATAATTTACCATCTTGGTAAACTACCAACAAGTAGCAAAGTCATTATTAGCGCTTCCGATATGGATATTGCGGTTATTGCTTTGGGAAATGTAAAATTGACGCTACCATCAAGGTATAGATGGAAGTAGGTCCCTTTTCCAATAACACGCAGAAATTCATAAATCTTCGAGAGATGTTCGTGAATTTGGATGTTGATGTGTGTAACGCGCAGGGTAACACGTTACCGGGTTCCCACGCATTTACCAGATGTATGACTTGTGTATGGTCCTCATGGTTTAGTTCATCGCAATTTGGGCCAATGTCACCGAAAAATGTCTGAGTTTGTACAATCCGTTTGATTCAAGTGGATGGACCTACGTGAATCAGAGGTTTAGAATCAAATGGTTTGAAAGATCTCAGTAGTCAGTATCCTATCGCTATCTCTGTTGGTTATGGTCTCGCGCGCTTATCTCTCACACGCTCGCACTCGCTGGGATTTACTATACCTAAATTTTTTAACTTCTAAGACGTCTGCCACTATTAAAGCTACACTTAATATCGTCTGCCAGGATATATTTTAAAGTAGTGGCAAAAAAAGGAATTTTTTATGTATAATTTTTATACGGTCCTCATGGTTTAGTTCAGGGGTGTTTTTCCCTACATTGGAGGGCGTCTTTCGCTACCAACGCTGCACTTGAAATCGTCTGCCATAGCATATTTGAAAACTAAGGAAAAAATGGGATTTCTTGATACAAATCTTTTCCGTTACCCTTATAGTTTGGTAATTTAGTTGATCACCTAAAGAAGTCATCTATTCAGCGCCGCCCCAAGTTAATGCTGCCACTTACGACTGGCAGACGAGTGATTTTATTATTAGTTTTCAACGTACTTTCAGCCTGTATTGTCGAATTTTTTGTCGCTTATGGTTTAGTTACTATGTACGCTGCCTCCCAGTCTAACAGAATTGCATGCTATTTTGTATGTAGACACCTCAAATAAAAGTAAAACTAGAGTCGAATCAAGCGCATGCAAACTAATGCCGATTCAAAAGTTCATTTAACAAGCCATGCTGATCTGGTGGGACAGAATCAGCCCCTTTAAGGTGTATTGTAAAAATGATGTATGTGTAAAGATCTCGAGGATCGTTCGGTATTCAGTTGTATCGGATCGGTGTCTATCTAGTGTAGTATTATCTTTGCACACAATAAGGAGTTATTGTCGAGCATAGCAGATCTATAGGGATGGGGATAAGCGTCTTTCTGGGTAGTGATTTTTGTTTCGCAAAACGCTTTCTGTTAGTTTCCCTTCAATAATTCCTTATAGTTAAAATGCCCCATACTAGAAAAATTACGCTCCCGACTCCATCCAACGGCAAAAAAGTTAAATTTAATATATTTCAACGTTAAACTTTAATGAAATTGATTTTATTGATTACATGTGACAGTTACAGTAAAAATTTTAATCATTCTAAATAAAGTCCCTAGATTACTAAAGTAACGCGATTCATTAGGCCAGTGTATTAGACAAAAACAAACTGCTAATTGAGCCACAGCCGTCTATAATTACAAGCCATGCTGAGAAGTTTGGCAACGTTGTTCGAAAGTCAATCGGTGGGCCGATGTAAGTTTTAATGGCGTCTTGTTGCTCTTGAAAAACGGCATTTTCCTCTCTCCTGTGTTTCGCCTTGGTGATTTTAATATAGAAGAAAGATACTTAGGCAGCTTACAATTGTACATATATTTTATTTATTTACAAAAATGGATAATAACATTTTTATTTGACTTTAAAATTCGGAACGCTGTAAATTGGTAACTGCATCATAATGTGTTTTCCATCGAGATCTCCGAAATTGGTGAACTTCTGTCGAAAGAGGTCGAGGTGAAGCACACGCTTGAGCACTTAATTTCGGCAAAAGGACAGTAAATCGCTGTGCATCAGCGAGGTTTTATCAACGACCAGGTGCGATTCGGAATGGCA